GACCAGTGTCATCTTCCAAGATGATGCTTTGAATGCTGCATCCTCCAGAGGTAGGAATACTACTTTTTACATGACCAAAGAGTGAAAGGGCAAGAGAGAGATAAGAGGGGAACAAACTCAACTTTTTTAAATGGTATAATCCTTCCTGTGAGAATGGAGCCCTCTTGGCCTAATCAGCTCTTAAAGGTCTCACATCTTAATACTGCTGCAATGGCAATTAAATTTCTTTCTTTTTTTTTTTTTGAGTCAGAGTCTCACTCTGTCGCCCAGACTGGAGGGCAGTGTCACACTCAGCCATCACAGCCTCGACCTGCTGGGCTCAAGAGATCCTTCCGCCTCAGCTTTCCAAGTAGCTGGAACTATAGGTGCATGCCACCATGTTTGGCTAATTTTTCTTGATTTATCGTAGAGATGAGGTCTGGCCAAGTTGCTCGGGCTGGTCTCAAACCCATGGGCTTCTCTCCACTTACCTCATTGCCACTCTATGTAATGGTACGAGCATCTCTCACCTAGATTTCTGCCATTGTATTCTAACTGGTCTACTTTTGGCCATTCTTCAATTGAGTCTCTACACTTGGGCCACAAAGATGCATTTTTGAAATGCAAACAAACAAACAAACAAAATAACCAACAACTACCTTTTAGTTAGTTTCTACAGCTCTTAGAATAAAGACAAAACAACTGGACTAATCAGTTTCTCTGGCCTCATTTTCAGCTGCCTCCCCCTTGATCCCTCTGTTCTAGCCACAATACCTTCTAAACCGCCCCCCCATTACCATAATTTCCTTCCACCCCAAAACTTTTGCATGTCCTGTTCATTGTAAAGCTTTGTGTCCTCTGTCTTCATTAGGCTAACTCCAGCTGAAGCAGCACTTCCCCAGAAAACCTTTCTTGATTTTTCTTTTATATCCTCTCATACCTGTCTACTTCCTCACCACAAAAGCATGTCTCACAGCCGCAATTTGACATTTGTTTGCTTATTTGATTAATGTCAGTCTCTTCCTACTGGACTTTGTAATTCAGGAAGGCAGGGTCATATCTTTTTGCATACCACCGTGTTCCTAGTGTCTAGCACTGTAAGCACTCAAAAAAAAAAAAAAGTGTTGGATAGACACTAAATACAGTAATTGAAGAAGAGCCAGCAATCAGGTTCAGTGACAAACTAGTCAAAGCAATCATAGGTCTTAGATCAAGATTATCAACATTATATTATCAAGATTATGTTGCTACTATTACTGCTACTTCTATGACTCCTACTTTTCCTCCAATCAGTCTCACGACTACTACTGCTTCTTGTAACCATATCAGCAGTTCCCTAAATCTTTTGTTGTGATCTGGTAAATTAAAGCCATGCTGTACTCTTATAACTCTAATAACTGCAAACTTTAAAAAGCATCAAAATTTTATAGTCTGAAGCATCAGGGAATCCAGTAGCATTCAAATGAATGAAACCTAGATTATAATAATCTAAGGCCTCACTCAGAGAACTGCATTTTTTGGAATAACTAAAAAGTTCCTAACCTAGGAAGAAAACTTGTCAAGTGAAAATGAAAAAGAAGCAAATGCTGAAATTCTTTATATTTCTCTTCACGTCCACAATCTCAGAGCACTAAGATGCTCACAGAGACAAAAATACCTCTTCTTAGATAGGCCTTTGGGGAACGTCAGGACAGTATTTAGACACTACTGTGTTGTGAGCAGACAAGAGAGAATGATTCAGATGCCAACAGAAAGAAAACAGGAAGAGGTGATCATCTCAACCACCTCTAGTCCCTCAGCATTTTAAAATTTAGACTCTTACATGCCACTTCAATTTGCATTTCTTTATGCTCTTCATAAGTGTTTGTACTTCAGGTATACTTTGCTTACCCGACTAGCTTGTAAACTTGAAGACTGCACCGGGGCATATGAGGAAAATGGTATAAGTGAGAGGAGAAGAAGCAAGAGAAGATCAAAAGAATAAGGAGGAGAAAGAAGTTACGCCATTGGATGTGAACTTGATGGAGTTCTTGGATGGCAACTGCCTCTTCTCAGTCAAGTGCCTACTCCTTAGGCCCATGCCAGGCTTACATTTTTGGTCCGTCTATGGTGAAGAATTGTTCCCCCTTCCACTTTGCTTTCTTTGTAACCTAATACACAATACCAGAACGATTTCTCTTACACTGAGGCCATTGCTTTTTATCTGATCCAACTGACAGCAACAAAGTTACAATCAGAAGATTAGAAATTTTCCAACCACAAAAGATATAGATAGGACTTCTGCCTCTCCAGTGATTTGCAGTTTTCAGTAGCTACAAGCTTAGCTTCCTTTCTTTTTTTTTAATGTTGCTTTTCTATAAAGGCAACACCATTCTCTTTTCTGGATGACATACAACCTCTACACTGCTGTCTTCATTATTTGCCGGTTTAGGCAGAAGATACAAAAGTTTAGTATAAAGCCAAGGTCAACGTGTATTTGTGCTAGTAGTGCATGGCAAATGTGCTACTGGGTTCCAAATTAGGCCTATATAGAAAGAGGAGGAGGACTCCATTTTTTTTGGTTTTTTTGAGTTGGAGTCTCACTCTGTCACCCAGACTGGAGTGCAGTGGCCGCTCCCGGCCACCGCAGCCTCGATCTGCTGGGCTCCGGCGATCCTTCCACCTCAGCCTTCCGAGTAGCTGGAACTACAGGCGTGCGCTACCATGCCCGGCTGATTTTTGATTTATTGTAGAGATGAGGTCTCGCCAAGTTGCCCAGGTGGGTCTTGAACCCACGGGCTCAGGTAATCCACTCACCTCGGCCTCCCAAAGGTGCGGGATTACAGGCTGAGCCACCGAGCCTGGCAGGACTCCATTTTTAATAAGAACTGAGAAATAGAATTCACATAGAATAATTATTACTACTCTTAAGTGAAAGTTGCCATTTACCAAACTACTGCCTTTGGCAGAAACAAAGTGCTTTACACAGATTATCTCATTTAGTCATCAAAATAGTGATACTCATGAAGAAAGTACTGTAATTTTTCATATTTGTTATTTAAGGAAACAAAAGCTTAGACACTTCAAATAACTTGGCTATGATAAAATACATAGTAAGTGACAGAGTCAATTTTCAAACCCAGGCTACCTGACTCAAAGTATGTGTAGCCAAACATTGTTCTATGTCTGTTTCTGTTTCTTTTTACTTTAAACCCACTCCACTCCAAGCCCAACCGAACTGAAGTAGTTTTTTTATTTTTCTTCCTGGAAAACAGCAAGGGAATCAGGCATTGTAAGATAATAGTTGATCGTATCTTGGTCTATAGGGGACTGTTCCAGTATCATGGTTTTAGAGCAGGTAAGTTGTAAGAAATGGAGAGAAGGTAAGAAATTCACACTTGTTGCTTGTCCTGGGCAGCCATGTCTTTTTTAGCGTGACCTTCATGAGATAATTTTTATTGTTTTTTGTTATATGACCAGGCTGCTTTACCCTGAGTTAAAATCAGGCCATTTCCAGTGCATTTTGCATTTGTTGGCTTTCATTTTCATTCTTTTCCATTAGCAGAAATGGAAATAATTTACTTTAGGATCAGGTAATTTAGAGTAAACACTATTATCATCATTTTCCAAATGGACTCAGAGAATTTACATGTCAGGACCCAAGTCAAATTTATTTCTAGCCAGAAAGGAGCTAGAACATAAACCTAGGATTTCTGTCTCCAAATACAGGACTCCGAAGTATGTCTGGTGTGAATGCTACATGTCTAGCTGCTTCCTTGGACCCTTTTCCTAACCTAGACTTAATATAGTATATCCAAAGCCTCTTTAATACACTTACCCACAAACTTTCCTTTGTCTTCCATCTCCCAGTGAAGAGCATCATCACTCAAATGTGCATGCCAGAAACCCAGATGCCACCTTCAATGTTTCTCTCTCCTCTCATACCACTTTTGCCTATATTCACTCTACCAGAACAGGCCACATCTGATTTATGCCCAGTGCATAAAATGTGCCATTTTCTTTCTTTATCTACCCAAACTGCTATTTTCTCTCCTCTGGGCTATTGGAATGGTCTCCTAACTTTTCCCTATCTTTTCATTCTTGTTTGCCTTCACCCCATTCTCAATTTTCTTTTTACAACACAAATATAATCAAGATATAAATGAAACGTCATGTTTGTTGGAAATACTTCAATGTCTTCCCATGGCTCGTAGTCAAAAATAGAAACCTTGGCCAGGCACAGTGACTCATGCTTGTAAACTCAGCACTTTGGGAGGCCGAGGTGAGAGAATTGCCTGAGCTCAGGGGTTCGAGAGCAACCTGAGCAACATAGGAAGACCTCATCCCTACAATAAATAAAAAAATCAGCCAGGCATGGTGGCACATGCCTGTGGTTTCAGCTTACTTGGAGGGCTAAGGCAGAAGGATAGCCTGAGCTGCAGCTGAGGCTGCGGTGGCTATGAGTGCACCACTGTACTCCAGCCTAGGCGACAGTGAGACTCTGACTCAAAAAAAAAAAAAAAAAAAATAGTAGAAACCTGGAACACAGGCAACAAAGTGCAGCATGATGTTGTCTTTACCTAACTCTTCTCTTAATCTCTGCGCCACAGTCCCACTGGTATTTTCCCATTTCCTCAGATACTACAAAGCCCTTCATGCAAGCTATTTCCTCTCTCTGGATCACTCTCAACCCCCTCCCACTCCAGCCTCACCTCCTGAATTGTCTTAAAGTCTACTCACTCTTTGGACTTCAGCTCAGGTGTTACTATCTCAGGGACAATTTCCCTGGTCTCTATTATAAGCTCTTTCACAAGACTGTCGTAGTCATTATTATTATTAACACCACTGTTGCAATTTTACATTTATTTGTGGAATTATTTAAATCAATTTCTGTCTCTCTTACCAAACAATACCTCTTTCTGTTCAACTTTTGAATGCTTAGCACCATGCCTAGCTCCTGGTTTTCTCATAATGCCTGTTTGTTGAATGAAGGAGAGCTGAAAGAAAGCATGGGCTTCCGTCTCTCTACCAGTTATGCTTACCATGTGTCTGAACATGAAGGTTGTAGATTTTAGTCTGAATGCCTTCCGGATACAGAGTAAAGATACACTCGTACTTCCCGCTGACTGAGGAAGATATATTTCTTAAGTGCAGAGTCCATTTTGACACATTCCTGGAAGTTTCTGTGAAAGCCACCAGTGATTCACAAGGACTGCCGTGGGCACAGTAGAAGCCATGCTGGGGATGATAAAGGGCAATCAGGTCCGCCTTATCGGTGACCTTGGACCATTGCATCTGCACCAAGAAGCTTATCTTCCGTGTTTGGCAGGTCAGGTTGACATCAGAGCCGGGACGAGCATAAATGTCTTCTGTATTGACTGTTTTTCCCCATATACCTGAAAAGAAAGGACATGAACTGTGAGTTTGCATAAATCACATGGAGTGAATTTTAATGTAAAACCCTGGCTACTTCAGTAAGGTGGGGGAGCAACTGAGAAAATTTCTCCTTGGCTGCTTAGGTGTAGAAGAGAGCTTGAGTATGATTCAGATAGAGAAACATGAGACAATATAATTAAGGAGGCATTTACTTAGGGAGCCTAGAGGAAATTATTGACTTCTGACTACCTCTTGAACTATCCAAAAAATAATTTAAGGTTTCTGACTACCTGTGAATAAAATTCAGTCTTTTAAAAAAATTGAAGTACATTAACAAACTTAGTATAACAATTATTCTTACATTTAACATAATTGGTTTTTTGGATTATAAATCAACAGCTGCATATAATACACAAGTAATTCTTTCTGAAACTGCAAAAATAACTAATATGCATATAGCAATTTCTATTAAAAATATGTTTTTAGAGGAGGCTCTTATACATGCTATCTTACGTAATCCTCCTCACATAACTTAAGAATGATGTTGTTAACACTCTCTTAAGGAGGAAACTGAGGCACAGAGAGATGAAGCGGTTTGCTGAAAACCACACCTCTAGTAGAAGAGCATGAATTTGGTTGCCTAGAATCTGTGGTATTTTTATAACCTTCATAACCTCCAAACTGCCTCCCAAATTCAGTCTAGTTGAGTGGGGTAAGAAATTTGACATTCAGTATATGAGGACTGAAATTACCTTCATCTCCACATAGTTAGATTTCCTGAGAGGAAAAGGAAAGAAAAAGAGGTTCTATCCAGTATCATCCCAAATCAGCACTCTGAAATACTAGACATAAAAGAAGATTTGTTTTCCTCTCATCAGTAATCTGACCAAAGGTATAGAACATTTAAAATATGTTAAGCATTGAACCTTTGACTTGCCTTTTATAGTGCTGGCCTCCATTTTAGAATTAACAAAGAATACTGTTACAGAAGTGGTACATTACTGTGACAAGTTACGACTGCAACTCACAAAGGAAGAAGATAAAAAGATGACAAGCTACTGAGAAGAAACAAGACTCTCAAAGTACTTGACAAATGGGAATTATTACACTTTTGTGGATGCAAAAGTTTGAGCAGGCAGAGGTTAGTACAGTTTAATGTAACTTCCTGTGAGCTATCCTTTGCCTGACAATACTGCTCTGATCCTATCTACAGCATTATAGTCCAAAGTCTCCTTTGATTTAGGAATTCTCCTTAAAGTGTTCGTTGCCACACCTGACAAGCATAGTTAATTTTTAAGAAACTCAGGCTCACTGTAATACCTTCATACTATGGAATGCAGAACTAATCTTTCTTCCTCCAATTTTTAAATAGGCCCTGTAGGCTCTTGTTCCCACTGTCATAAGGACCCCACTTTATCTCCCAGATTCCTACCTACACATGCCTCATTAAAATTCAACATGTATTCAGCTCCCAAAGAGCTTAGTATTTGGAGGAGAAATGCTTGTTATATACAAAAGAAAAGGGTACTTGAGAGAGAAAAAAAGTTGAACAAGGATCTCTGAGCATTGATGGCTTTGTGATTTTGTTTTTTAGTTTTCCTGAGTTGATCCGACTACCATTTAGAGAACATTTCATTTTCAAGAAACACAATTTCCAAATTACTCCAGAGAGCCTGTTAGGAGGGAAATGGCTGGAAATGCCTCAGAGCAGTGGCGCAAACCACCCACTCTTTTCTTGTTTTTAGTGTTCATTCATAATAATTTCTAGACTCTAACATCTCTCCGATAGCTGCCACTTAAATACATAACTAAAAACCTTAGTAAGGATTTGTCCTTGGTGATCAACTTCAGCAGCAGTTGCAAGACATTTTAAATGAACAAGGGTGCCATTCGCCCCTAAAGTAGCCCATCTGATAAGAATGGACAACTGAAAGTCTTACCTCTGATAAAATGTATCTGGATAATGGAATAGACTGCACAGTATGTCCATTTTTTCTCCATTGTCTCTTGAAAACTTTACACCAACATTTTCATAATGATCAGGGAAGTCAATTGATGTCTTTAAGCAAACTCCAGCTACACTCTTCAAGCTTAAAAAAAAAATTACCACACGCCTGGGTTGGTTTATTGCTTAGCAAGCCCCCAGGAAATGAAACGTAGACAGGAAAGTAATGTGGTTCAGGGCTAAGTATAACCTAAAACAGAACAATGTTGAAATTGTTCTCAGAAATCTTGTGTATTACCTTCTCTAAAAGACTTTTCAGTATCCTAAGATTTTCTCAGTCAGGATCTCTGTGTCAGCCAAGATGCTACTAAAATCCAAACAAAGGAAGCCATGCAGAGCAGTTGGCAATGTGTGTTTTATATATTTCTTTTATTTTTAAAATTATTATTTTATTTTAAAGATGTGGGGTATAATTCAGGATTAGGTACATAAGTGGTCACTGTACAGGTGAATTTTGGGCCTCCCATAGGTTCTCACTTTGCCTGGTTTAGTATCAGATATCCTTATTGATATTATGTGACTTCCCCTTCCCTGGCAGTGTCTCGCTAGTATCAATCTCTTTCTTGTAGTAGGATGATAAATGTTCAGGGTCCACTTATGAGTGAGAACATATGGTTTTTGTTTCTGTGATAGATCACTATGATAGACTCTAAATCCATCCAAGTTGCTGCAAAGTCCATAATTTTGACCTTCTTTATGTCTGCATGATATTCCATTTTGTCTATGTACCACATTTTTTTTTTATCCAGTTCACTTTTGATGGGCAGAAAGGTTGGTTTCATGTTTTTGGTGTTGCAAATAGTGCTGTAATAAACATGTATGTACAGGTAGAATGATTTGAATTCCTCTGTGTATACTTTCAGAAGGGAGATTGCAGGGTCGTATGGAATGTCGATTTTTAAATCTTTTAGAAATTGCCAAACTGTTTTCCACAGAGGTTGTACTTATTTACACTCCCACCAACAGTGTTGAAGTGCTCCCTTTTCTCTGCATCCTCTCCAGCATCTGTTGTTTTTTGAGTTATTAATTATGGCCATCCTGACTGGAGTTAGGTGGTATTTCAGTGTAGTTTTGATTTGCATTTCTTTGATGATTATATACATTTCTTCTCAAGAGCACAAAGTCATTTAACAAATGTGAGCTTGGTGTCTTTCATAAGAGTATTTCTGTTCAGTCTTAAGATGTGTTTTCTTTTCAGAATTGCGCCGGGGTGAAAAAGCAAAGAATTAACACATTTACTTGTAATAAAATCTAAAAAGTAGCAGGGAGTGTCATCAGCTATTAAAACAAATTTTATCGCCTCTCCTCTAGCAGAGAAACCTACATTTTCTGGGAATCGAAAAGTGAGGGCTCCTTTTCTGCTCCTTGTCTGGGAAGGTTGGATGTCAGATTGGGAAGTCTGCTACCAAGCTAGCTGGAGACCTTTTTTGCTGACGACAGAAGAGCTTATCCGTGCTTAAGCCAAAAACTATATAAAACAAGGCAGTAACAATTAGAATCCAAAGGCAGAGAATTTCCCACCTTAATGAACTACCAGACCTGCTTCATCGGCTCAGTTACTTTCCATTTACAGAGAACCTTAATTGGGTTTCAGGAAAGTGACCCCTTGGTTAAAATGTCTAGTTATTCATGGAAGGGTACACGATGACTATTTCCTGTTATGATCCTCTGATATGATTGTATTAGCTTTCCAGCGTGGGATAAGATAGGCTGTCTTCATCCTCCAGCATTAAGAAAACAAGCATTACGCTGACGACAACAGTATGAGTTTAAGGAACAAAGAATAACAACGAAAACATGTCTCCACACAACCATATGAATGATTGGTAAAATATTCTGTGACCCTAATCTCATATACAAAGGCATCACACAGCAAGACTGGAGACAAATGAGAAGGTCAAATTATACTCCTGAGGTGGTAATTCTTTTGAGGTTAGGTGGAGGTAATTTTGGCCAGGTTGTCATCATGTATGCTCTGATCTTTCCTCTTCAAGGATTTGTGGGTAATATGGATGATGCTAAGGTGTAAGGAATCATTTTTGCCATTCATGAAATTAACAATTAGATGAAAGATGAGAGATCTGCATGTGAAGAGAAAAGGACTACTGTGTCCCTGGATATCCAGGTCACCCCCTTACACCACCATTGCAAATATTTGTCATGACAATTGTGATACTTATTAATTACTCCTCAACTAATGGTGCTTTCTGCAAAGGCCAGAATATGAAGATACTTATTTTCTAATCCAGGGCTACCCCAAACCTTTATTCTCATCTCTCCCCATCCACCCTCAAGTTTCAGATTGCTGGGGATGTTGGGTCAGGTGGTGCTGAAAGTGATATTTCAAGGAGGACTGAGGAACTTAAAGTTCTCGATGGAAGGGCAGGAAGAGACATAACTGCTTGAGGTAACTTCACCTCTTCTCTTTGCCCCTGGAAATTCCAGTAAATCAAAGTGATGAAGCATAGCAGAAAAAATAGACCAGAAGATGATCCTGACCTGCAAGTCGATGTCCCTATTGAATTGATACACATTAACAAGCCTGGAGAAGGGATTTCATTACCTCATTCGTTTTTTTCATATTAAGAGAAATTTACCAGAGTAAAAACCAACAAAAATCTAAATTTATTGAATTCTCTAAGAACAGTACTCCCCTTGGAGCATTTTGAGGTCTCCTTCTCTCATTGCATTAAAGTGAAGTGTTTTCACTTTGAATCTCAATGCTTCACAAAAATATCAAACTCAGAAGAAAGGGAAATTGTCATTTACTGTCCAGATCTACAGAATTACTTTTAATAGAATCCTTGCCTGTCATTGGGATTGGGCTACCCAAACTACCTGTTTAGTGGCTATTCCCCAAATTTACCCTCTCTGGGTGTTATTCAGGCCCTGGCTCATGGTTTTTATTCTAGAAATTTCTGTGACCTGAAACCATCGTATTTGACTAATTTTCCTTTGGGACTCACCCAGGCTCTGAGAGAAGAAACATTTCAGATGCAAACTAACAGAATATTAATCGAACACGTATGCATCCGGTGTCCTGCAGCTCCAAGTCCCAAACACCAGCCCCTCCATGGCCGTTTGTATGCAGCAGGTGGCAGCAACGCCCTGCAGACCGGCATGGTTATCCCAGGTGATGGAAATTGCCCCCACCGCTTTTCAATCCCGGTAGTATTTTCTAAAGGCCCTTTCAGCATGGGAATAGGCATTCTCTATACTTAAAAATAACTCTTCTATGGCAGTCATGTCAATCTCTTCTATTATCCTCCCTGCTCACCATATCCCAATTGCACAGCGTTTCTTCTGCCTTAGATGATAGTGTGCTGCATATAAAGAGAAAACAGAAGCAGTCAGTTTCACACACAAAAAGAAATGTGGAACTTCTCAAACCTCAGAGGCAAATTCAATTATTTACAAAGGGAAGCAGGAACACACATTATTTCTGCTAGAGGCAAACCATGATCGTGTGTTTTGGGCACACTTTTAAAATGCTCTATCTAGACACTTATCCTCAGTGAGAAAAGGACATTTTCAGAAATAGGAAATTGATCAAGAGGTAAACTTACTTTTATGGTTTTCGTAGTGGTTAATTCAAATATTACCAACTTGTATTTAACTACTTACATTAAAAAAAAGTGGAGTTATACTTTTGCATGTTTTCCAAAATGCTTAGGACACACAATGCTTAAGGAGTCAGTTAATTAAAAAATATTTACTAAGTTTCAGCTCTTAAGGGATTCCGGAAGAGGTATGGTTCTAGGTAATTTTAAAATACAAAAGATAAAACACAGTCCTTAGCCGGGCTCGGTGGCTCAGCCTGTAATCCCGCCCCTTGGGAGGCTGAGATGAGTGGATTACCTGAGCCTGCGGGTTCGAGACCCGCCTGGGCAACTTGGTGAGCCTTCACCTCTACAATAAATCAAAAAATTAGCTGGGTGTGGTAGCGCGCGCCTGTAGTTCCAGCTACTTGGAAGGCGAGGCGGAAGGATCGCCGGAGCCCAGCAGGTCGAGGCTGCGGTGGCCGGGAGCGGCCACTGCACTCCAGTCTGGGTGACAGAGTGAGACTCCAACTCAAAAAACAAAAAAAACAAAAAAACACAGTCCTTGATCATAAGGTGCTTACTGTTTAGCTGGAGGGAAGATTCATTTGCACCAAAAAAAGTCAAGTAACATAATGCAAAGCCCAAGTGAGTAGTGAGCCCAGGAGTTTAGGAAAGGAAGGATGTTTTAGGGTGGACATGTCCAACCCATGGCTCAGGACAGCTAGTAATCCGGACCCACAACCTCTTTGAACATCATGCGTTTTTTAGATTTATTTTCTTCAGGACCCCATGCGTAATTCCATTTTTGAAGTTCACAGTCACGCCTTATTCATGACATTGTTTTTTGGTAGCACATACATTTGTGAGCAGCGTTTTCATTTATGAAGCACACGAAGAGCAAAATCTGAACAAACATTTCTGACGAGCGTTTTGAGAAATGCAACCACTACCATTGAACCAGACATTGACCGATTAGTTTTACAAAAACAAGATCAAATTTCCCACTAGCTGTATATTCTTCTCATTTTCTAAACTTGATAATAAAAAATATACAAAAATTTATGTGTCTATACACTAACTATATTATATAATATATGTGTAGTCCAAGACAATACCTCTTTATTTGATATGACCCAGGGAAGCCAAAAGGTTGGACATTTCTGTCTTAGGGGTTGAGTGGGCCAGGAGCATCTTAGGAATAATCTGAACTTGGCCTTGTATTATAGAAGTCAGTCTAGTGGAAAACATAAGGTAAGTCATTTCAGGCAAAAGAAATAGAAAGAGCCAACGCTTGGGAGTGAAGTTGAAGGCTGTTTAGTGAATAGGCTGTTCCGGTGAACCAGAGGCACACTGAGGGACTATGGGCAGATCAAGCTGTCCAAGAGCTTTGAATTGCAAGCTAAGGACTGTGAATATTTTCTTCATGTCAGAGAGAATGACAGTAGATTTTTCAG